TTCTTAATTGATGCTGATCCCTAGTCTCTAAGTCTTGAAGAGAGACAACTTGTGCCTTATTCCCAAAATTTTCAAATTTTGTTTTGTCAATCTATGTGATAAAATGATTTATATTCGATAATAATGTGAAACTTTACATTCCTATTTAACTGAGTTTACAACCAATTCTAGTTTAATTTGTCATATTTCCCAGAATGCAATCATGGCATTATTGAAAAGGACAAAAAAAAAACATCGCAAAGGAGAATATAGAGATAAAATTATGTAATAAGTTTAAATTTATCGAATAGGAATCGTATTTTTTCGAATAGAAATGGATGTATGTTTTCGAACAACAACTTTATTGCATATAAACCAAATAATTATCTGTTTGAAATTGAATTCTCAACTTTTGGGCATTGGTGTATGTACCATTAAATTTTGTCACCATGTCTAATTTCTTATCAAAATCCAATCCTCTGTCTCCTTCAATAATAACAACATCAGTTGCATATATTTGGCATATCCAGGCTGATCAAAACGAATTCTAATGCAATTCACAAGTAAATGAATTGCCTCAAAATATTCAACTCTATACAAATCTTCACAAGTGTCGTGGTCATACATAGATCTGTCGTCAATTCCTTTTGGAGGACGTCTACGAAGAAGCACCACAAGACCTTCAATACCTTCAGAACACAGAATTTATGGGTCTTTTGACTCATCCTCATAAGACGAGAGAAAAGCTTCGTTTGTTTTTAGAGACTCCAGAGCTTTCAAAGTGCCTTGAGTCATTTTCTGACCTTCTGCAGCAGAGAGAGTTTTTTTGTCTGTAGAACTTTGCTAAGGTTATCGCTATAATGGAACAACTGTTCACCCAGCAGACAACAGATAAGTTAGACACAACGCCTCTTATTCTACATCTCATCTCTGATCCTTTTACATATTCCATCAATTTCTCCCATACTCCCAATAGTATTTCCTTGTATTCAGTATAGCACTTTGGGGAGCATCTGCCCGAACTGCCCATCTTACTGGACAAAAAATCCATCTTATTGGAAACAAAACTCGTAATCCAGGTGAGGAAGTCTCAAATTCTCAGACTCTTTCAACTTTCTAAGAATTGCTTCTCTTCTTGGCAACTCTTTGATCTATTTTGTTATTTCACACGATTCGATACGTAAGATCATGCTCTACGTATGAACAATTTCTGAAAATTATTGACAAGCAAGTTGATGAAACAAGAATATAAGCAATCTCGTTTAAAGTCATCATTTCGTAAGTTCTATGGTCGATACAATTACCTTGTCAGTAAATACAATTTATCATTGAGTCAGATGCTGACTGGCGTTTTTCATACCAATTGTTAGTCCATTATTTATACACAAAATTGACGACGGATTTTTTGCATACTTGGATATTTTACTTGAAAAAGACACTAATGGTAATCTAACAACCAAGCTATATGATAAACGTGATGACTTTAACTTTTCTATCGTCAACTTCCCTTACTTATGCAGCAATATACCTTCATCACCTGCATATGGAGTATATATATCTCAGTTGATTCGATACGCAAGAGCATGCTATACGGATGAACAATTTCTTAAACGAGGTGAATTATTGACAAGCAAGTTGATGAAACAAGAATATCAACAGCCTCGTTTAAAGTCATCATTTCGTAAATTCTATGGTCGATACAATGGCCTTGTCAGCAAATACAATTTATCATTGAATGAAATGCTGACTGACGTTTTTCATACCAATTGTTAGTCCATTATTTATACACTGATTTGACGACGGATTTTTTCCGTTATTTCCTGGTTATGACAACGCGCACACGGCGGGTGAGACCGGTTGGCAGGGGATGCTTACTCCTCCTTGCCACCTGATCCCACCACTGATGTTTCGGAGGTCCGTGTTTGCTCTTATTTTGTATATTGTTTAATGGACGTTGAGATTGAATACCGTTCGTTATTTCCATATCCTTCTTCCGTTATTTCCTGAATATGACAAGTAGCACACGGAGGGTATGACCGGTCGGCAGGGGATGCTCACTCCTCCATGGCACCTGATAACACCTCTGTTGTTTCGGGGGTCCGTGTTTGCTCTGCTCTTATTTTGTATTGTTTTATGGACCTTTAGATTGAATACTGTTCGTTATCTCCATATCCTTTTACAGGTACGTCAAGGGCAGGTAAATTGTAGATGATTTAGCAGAATTCGAATACACCAAGTTTTAGAACATACCATAACAGTCCGAATAAAGACCTCAGATCTCTCTCTCTCTCTAAAATTTTTTTTGCAACTCCACTCTTTGACACTGCCATTGAAGCAGCCATATCGTAACATGGACCCCGTAATTTATTAAAAGAAATATTGCATCTGGTAAAAGTATCAGTGATTGCAGAAACGATTGTTTCAGCTTTAATGTCGTCTAATTCAAAAAAGTCAAATGTCGTCTAATTAAAAAAAGTCAACAAAATTTTCTTGTGGCACAAACAGGTAATCGATGTACCGGAGGCAAATAACGAGCTGTTCTCTATTTGAAATGTCAGTAATCACATCAGCCCTTATGGTCTGAAATTTTACATTCTCTAAATCTCTCATAATTTTCTAAGAACTTGATTAGTCAAAACTTTAAGTATTGTTTGGAATTTGTACTGAAACATATTTGTCTGTTTTTTCTCTGAACCCATGCCTGAAAAACAGGGTCACTCTCTCTCTCTGCAGTTAAATCAACCCGTGAAAATTAAAAGAACTCTCCTGTGATTATACAGAATGTATTTTGTTTCACACTGAAATCAAGTATTTTCAGGAAATAACTTCTGTTGTATTTTTTCTGATCAGAGTGTTGTTTACTGAGAGATTCTCCAACATCCCCTTACATGCTTAATACCTTTGAAAGTGTAATCGATCTTTCAACTGCTTTTCTATGACTCTTGTTATTGGAATGCTTAACGAAGCACATTCTAGCTTTCCTACAGTTATGACAAAAATCTTTAGTTAGGAATGTATATACCACCATTGAAAGTTGTTATACAGCAGACACAGAATGCTGCATTTAATGACACATTATAGTGAAGCCATTTCCATTTTTAATACATGTAATTATGAAAATCTTTATTTTGTGGGAAATTTGAAATTGTGGATTGGAAAGATTTATAATATCAGGTGTAGGCCATCTGACAAAACGTTCTAACTTTTCTGTCCTGTCCTTGTCCACTGCTTGCCTGTTTTTGGCGTTGAAATATTACTTGGACTATCTTAAACCTCCGACTTCTCTCTTTTGAGATCTCCATCAATTATTTTGAATCAGCGATGGGATATTTGAAAAAAGTAAATGTAATTAACTGTAATTGATTACCTTTTTAAAAGTAATTGGAAGTAATTTGTAATTAAACACTTAATATACTTGTTATTGTAATTTAATTAATTAAAATGTAATTTCAATTTCCTTTTCAATAACATTCCATTACTTAATACACTACACATCCATGATATATTGTTACCACGTCCTTCCCATTCTACTGTATTTTATTCAACTGTTTAACATACTCTCGGTCCTTCAATTATATGAAAAATATTTAGTTAATGTTTACAAGCAAAAATAAAAAAAAAAGATTGGTTTGATAACAATAATCTAGTTTCTTTTTAATAATTATGTAAAATTCATTTATTCTGTTTTCTTTGTTAAATGTCAAGTAGAAAGATACATGAAAATCTAAGTTTTTCTGGTTTAAACACTTTGCAAATATTATCAGAATAAAATGCTGGATTATAATTTGCTTTATTGAAAGCAAAAGAAAATTTAAGCTTGTATTAAAATATCCACCTGCACTGTAGAAAATCTCTTTATAACCAAATTAAGTTACCTCCCTTCGAGAAGATGACTCCATTAGAAACACTCGCCCAAGAGACGCATCAATGTAAAGTTAAACAATGACCTCTGCTACAGAAAGCAGGAATGCGGAATTCTCTCAGAAAAGGGATTCATTTTTTCCCACACTTTTAACAAAAGAAATAAACCAAATTTCGATTTTTTCCTAAATCTTTCGAATTCTATATATGAATAAAACATCCTAAAAAACATATGACTTGAATATTGAAATTGTTTGATGCGGCCATCAGAATGCCGAATTATTGTAGTGTCAATGTGCACACTTGGTAATATGGTATTAAAAACACTGCTAAATCTGTAGAGTGAAATAATAATAAGCACCATTTTGACTTCCTGTCATTGTAAATTTTCAATACTTCCTGGATTTGAATTGATAGACGCAATATTAATGTGTTTATTTTTTTATACATTGCAAATTGTAGGATTATTTTTCATATTTTCTTGTTCCAATATTAAAAGTAAAAATATCTGCATCTTGAACAGGTAAGAATTAATATCGTGCATCTGAAACTTTCACGAGAAGTATATTGAACTCAGTTGAATATGTTCTATAACAAATCAAAATCCTAACGCTATATGTTAGTGATCTTAATTTAGTGCTTCATAATTTGTGTTGTTTAATTCCATATATTTTGAGATACAGCGTGTTCTACAGGAAATAAATTGCATTATATTTTCTAGTAAATATTTAAAGGATTATATTCATTTAGAGTAGAAAAACTATTGGTTCATTAATTTCAATCTTTTTTCAGAACTGTGGCGGACTCTACTTTCTGTTGTGCTAATTTTTACAAAGACGAAAGCGGGAAATTGATTCTGATTTTAATTGCTGATAACTATGATGATTTCATATATAGTTTTCAAAATTTTGAAAACAGAATTTTTATTATTTATTGCATCAAATCTATATGAGAGTTTTCATCAAATTTAAAAAATTAGAATTCTTTCAATTTCATGTTTTAACACGTGTTGATTTTTTTATCTATATTTATTTCATTTAATCAATCTTTTCTGGAGATTTTTTTTCTATCAATATTTAAACAAGTAGTACAATTCTTTCATTTCATGTTTTATACACTTGTTGTTCATATTGTTTGTTAGTTGTTTTTTTCTCTTTGTAAATGGATTCTGTATTGTTTTCCTAGACGTCTGTTCGGCATTTCATTGTACATGTTGTACATGTATCAGTCATGATTACAGTATGTTCACCGGGATACTATGGGGATACATGTGAGAAAATTTGTCCACGTGGTACATTTGGTCAAGATTGTGGTGGACAGTGTAGGTGTTCCCCCGAGGATTGCAACCACGTCACAGGGTGTCCACATTTAAGCCAACGTGTAACCACACCGGCAATCACAGGTATAAGCTACGTGTACATATTTAAAAAAAATATATACCCATTGTGTTGATAGCAAGTTGTTAACATAATTGACGTCTGAGATTTTTTCTGTGTTTTTCTATTACAACAGAACATCAAGAGAATAAAACACCCACAACATTAATATTTGGACTACCTGTCTCTAAAATAAAGGATGGCAACCCATCAGTAATATCACCAACAGTAAAACCTCATGTATCAACATTGAACAGCACAAATCTGTACTCTTCTAAGATTCAAACAACTTCATCTTCTTCTGATATAACCACGGCGGGGGAATTTAACAGTAATTATTTACTGTCTGGAGTGGGATTGTTGTTAGCTATTTTATTGATTGTAATCATTTTCCAGCTCCGTTTTAGATCAAAATCTTCGCAAAGAAAGATATCAAGAAGAGAAAAGAAAAATGACACCGAAAGAAATGTATCCAATGATTCTGAAAGTATGCCACGTGAGAGTGACAAAAAGCAATACAACAGGTTAGAGCAGGATAAGGACAACCGCCATGTCTATCATAAGGCTGAATCTGAGTATCAGGAAATTGACAAATGTCTAGAAATGTTGGAGGTTTCGTCCAGACCAAAAGAAGGTTCTATATCAAAGGAGGAGTTGTCGGGAGAAAGTAGTTATTTGGAAAATTATTTAGAACCTGTTATTTCAAAAGACGATATAGAGAACAGCAATGAGAGACAACGGCATTCATACATCGAAATTTTGGATTCAGACAAAATTAGAGTGGATGAAAACCTAATTGATGGACGTTATGAAAAAATAAGTGATTCATCGTCTTCATATGATGATGTAATGACTGAATATTCCATTGTTGCAGCGGAAGTGGCTAATGGAAATAATGATACGTATCTAGATGTTCAATTTTGATGAGTCAATCATGGAATAAAATCATCTCAAAATGCAACTGTCTCTAAACTATCTGTATAATTAACTCATCAACTTGTGTTATAAGGTTTCTTGATTACACATTTGATGCCGATCGCCATTGTTGCTTTTGTTATATCCAAGGTGCTCTTGAAATACCTAAATAAACTATGGATAACTGTAGTTATCAATCATATAAAAGTAATTTGTTTTTAAGTATGGGTTGAATTGATTTTCATTACTATGTAAATTGATTTACTTCAAATCTTATGAATTAATGCAGAACATAAGATAAACTAGATACGATCTCGTAGCGAGCAACGAGTGGGTCTTCCGTCCGATTCTTGATGAGATGAGACGAGATGAAATTTTGATTGAGATTATAATTTTAAAATAATGATTTTCCATAATCTGTAAAAAGACATCAAACATTAAAGACTAAAGAAAATCGGCTTTTGGCCCTTCACGGCTCCTCAATCAGCATTTTCTATTCATATCAGAGCTCTATTAAAGCTCTACTGATTTTGATCACTTTTTGTTCAACAACTATTCAGAGATTCTTTTTCATTTTATTATTTGCATAAGAAATATTTAGGAGCCAACCCTTCAACTCCTTGATGGAGACGTTTACCGAAAAATTAAAGGTTGCATATTGTGCAGAACGTGATTTTGAATATCTTTTTGTTCAATATTACTGATTATACCCGCACTTTCTAAAGAAAGTTCGGGTATATTGTTGTTACTCATGTCCGTCCGTCCGTCTGTCACACTTTTCTTCCTTGAACTCCTCTTACATTTTACACAGTAGCCTAATCATCTTTGGGGAGATGGTTGGTGGTGTCATGTAGATATACAGCAAGGTTTTGCAATGTTGATTTTGTCATGGGGGGTCAAAGGGGGGGGGTCGAAAAATGATGCTTTTTTATGCAAATAGCCCCGTCTTCCCTGAACTCCTCTTACATTTTACACATTAGCCTAATCATCTTTGGGGAGATGGTTGGTGGTGTCATGTAGATGTGCAATAAGGTTTTGGAATTTCGATTTTGCCCCGAGGGGTCAAATGGGGGTCGATAAATGATGTTTTTATGCAAAAAGCCCCGTCTTCCCTGAACTCTTCTTACATTTTACACAGTAAGCTAATCATCTTTGGGGAGATGGTTGGTGGTGTCATGTAGATGTGCAGAAAGGTTTCAGAATTTTGATTTTGCCCCGAGGGGTCAAATGGGGGTCGAAAAATGATTTTTTTTTATGCAAAAAGCCCCGTTTTCCCTGAACACTTCCTATATTTTACACAGTAGCATAATAATCTTTTTGGAGATGTTCGATTGTGTCATGTAGATGTGCAATAAGGTTTTGGAATGTTGATTTTGCCCCAGGGGGTCAAATGAGGGTCTTAAATTGACTTTTTTTATGCAAAAAGCCCCGTCTTCCCTGAACTCCTCTTACTTTTGACTTAGTAGCCTAATTATCTTTTAAGAGATGGTTGGTGTTGTCATAAAGATAAGGTTTCGGAATTTTCATTTTTGATGGTAGATTTTTTTTGTATTTCTCTGCATTCTAGAACTTATCTTATACTTTAAATCATGATCATTTGGAAAATGATTGGTTTGTTTTATGCATGTGTAAAATGGTTTCAAAATTAGCATTTTCATGTGGATGGCAAAAGGGGCAGGAAATAATGGCCCCTGCCTAACCCTGGGGGTCATGATTTGTACTAACTAGAATCTACACCTTGAGAATTTTTCCATGTTAAAAATGCTCTTGTTGTTTTTGAAAAGGAGAATTTTGAAGATTTGTTTCCTTTTATTCCTAAATAAAACTTTGATCCCTAATTGTGGCCTGACCTAGCCTTTGAGATTATGATTTGTAAAACTAGAAATATATCTATAGGACATGAATGTCCCACTGCATGTATATTACTCATGCTACAGGAAAATTTGTATAAGTGTATTAAGTTTGTTGAAAATATCTCGAACAGTTTCTTAAGATTTGAAATTAAAATCTAAATAAATTGGATATAGATTATAAATCCTCACCAAATTATGTATCTGTGCATGCTAAACATAAAGATGTCTTAAATTTTTTCTTTAAAGCTAAGCGAAATACAAATTAAAAAGGATGGAGGTCAAGGTCAGAGGAATGTGCAAGAGGTGAAATGAAGTTATCAGCATTTTATGTTTAGTAAAAATAAATTGAATGATTTAATGAAACTGAGCTTAACACTTTTTCTAAGAAAAGAGAGGTCAAAGGAAAGGTTAGGGCCAAAATGTTAATTGTTAATGCATTCCAAAATCAAAAAAGAATTTTTTTTTTCTGTTTTAAGCATATTGCCCTTAGGTATTGACAAAACTCAACAAATAACACAGTTTACAAGATATTTATTGGTGCGAATATTAAAAGTTTCAAACACGCAAACCATCGTTTACATAGCTAGATTTTATGGAGTAAATTTCAGCATATACAGCAGTCAATTCAAAAGCGACTGTTCATGATATAAAAAGATTTTACGGAGTAAATTTCCTCCCGAAAATCATCACTGATACAGTATTCACTACAAACAATTACAAATTAAAAATAGCAAAAATCTAGAGAGTAAATTTCCTCTCTAAATTCACATTTGTGCATTCTACATTCAGTATGTCAAGTCCAAATCAACCACCGTTTACATAGCTAGATTTAACGGAGTAAATTTCCTCCTATAGAATTTCACTGATACAGTGTTCACTACTTTAATTAAAGTTTGTTTCTAACAAAATCCAGAGAGTAAATTTCCTCTCTAAATTCACGTCGGTGGATTGTACATTCAGTATTTCAATGCCAAATCAACCATCGTTTACGTTGCAAGATTTTACGGAGTAAATTTCCTCCCAAAGAAGAATTTCAATGATACAGTTTTCTCTACTAACATTACAAATTAGTACTAACAAAAATCTACAGAGTAAATTTCCTCTCTAAATTCACGTCGGTGCATTGTACATTCAGTATTTCAAAGCCAAAGAAACCATCGTTTACATAGCTACATTGTACGGAGTAAATTTCCTCCCAAAGAATATCACTGATACATTGTTCACCACTATATTTCAAAATAGAAAAAAAAATCTACAGAGTAAATTTCCTCTCAAAATGCGCGTCGGTGCATTGTACATTCAGTATTTCAAAGCCAAATCAACCATCTTTTCACAGCTAGATTTTACGGAGTAAATTTCCTCCCAAAGACTATCACTGATATAGTGTACACAACTACATTTCATCTAGAGAGGAAATTTCCTCTCAAAATGACATTCATACGGTAAACATACAATAGTCAATTCAGAAGCGACTATCTTTTATATGACAAGACTTTACGGAGTAAATTTCCTCCCAAAGATTTCACTGATAGAGTGTTCACTACTTACATCTACAGTTTGTTATTAACAAAAATCTAGAGATTAAATTTCCTCTCTTAATTCATGTGGGTATATTGTACATTCGGTATTTCAATGCCAAATCAACTATCGTTAACATAGCTGGATTTTACGGAGTAAATTTCCTCCCAAAGAATATCACTGATACATTGTTCACCACTACATTTCAACATAGAAAAAAAGTATACGGAGTAAATTTCCTCTCAAAATGCACGTCGGTGCATTGTGCATTCAGTATTTCAATGCCAAATCAACCATCGTTTACACAGCTAGATTTTACGGAGTAAATTTCCTCCCAAAGAATATAACTGATATAGTGTACACATCTATATTACTATTTGAAAATAGCAAAAATCTGGAGAGGAAATTTCCTCTCAAAATGACATTCATACAGTATAAATAAAGAAGTCAATTCAGAAGCGACTATCCTTTAGGTAACAAGGCTTTACGGAGTAAATTTCCTCCCAAAGAATTTCACTGATAGAGTGTTCACTACTTACATTTCAATTTGGTATTAACAAAAATCTAGAGAGTAAATTTCCTTTCTAAATTCACGTCGGTGTATTGTACATTCAGTATTTCAATGCCAAATCAACCATCTTTTACGCAGCTAGATTTTACTGAGTAAATTTCCTCCCAAAGACTATCACTGATATAGTGTTCACTACCACATTACAATTTGAAAAAGGCAAAAATATACAGGGTAAATTTACTCTCAAAAATGACACTGATACAGTTAACATACAGTAGTCAATTCAAAAGCGACCTTCCTTGATATAACAATATTTTACGGAGTAAATTTCCTCCCAAAGAATATCACTGATACAGTATTCACTACAACAATTACAATTTGAAAATAGCAAAAATTTACAGGGTAAATTTCCTCTCTAAACTCACATTGGTACATTGTACATTCAGTATTTCAAAGCCAAAGCAACCATCATTAACATACTAGATTTTACATTCATTATTCGCAGATAGAAAATAAACATTTAAAAATAAATTGATACAATATACACTTTTTACAGGAAAAAAACATACATTTTACATCTTATTTAAAAAATGACTTTCGAATGACATTTTTATCTCAATATACTTATGATGAAATACATTATTATTTAATCTATAAATAAACAACGAAGAATCTATACAAACACATACAGTTTTTTTGACTGATTTCAAGGCGTATTCAACGAGGGGAGGGGGTTCAATGCGCATACAGTAGCATGGTGACGTCACAAACAATATCTCAAGGTACGTTGAGAACTGTATTGTCCAGTCTATATCCGCGAAGAAAAAAGGAGAAGGAGACAAGTCCCTCTCTTGATTATTGTCAAACTGTTTGATTTCAAACACATCTATCACATTTACTTTCTTTGACCGAAGCTCCACTTCTATGCTTTCCTTATGGCTGATGCCATTGAACACTTGCTGAATGCATTTCAAACATGTCCAAAGGAAATTTGGCCGCCATATTTTGAACAAATCCATTGTTGACCTATTGATAAAATTTTTAAACTCGCAAATCATCTCATAAAATTATTTTTAAACTTTCAATTTTTCAAATCCCATGGGCATTTATTTTTTCAGGCACGCCAGAATACATGTTGCGCACCACAGTCGAGCAGTGTTGCTTGTACAATTTTTGTAAAATCAAAAAAAAAAATTTCCGTTGGTTTTTTGTATGGAAAATTCATTCATCTAAAGAACACGTACATATACCCCCAGTCTACACACACATTTAGACAAACTAAGACAA